TGCTTGAGATGTACTCTTTATGAGGTTGGAGTGGGGAAGTGTCTCTCTTCTTTAAGCTTCTTATGCACCAGGAAATGATGGAGCCGTCCATTTAATGATGTCCTTGACACCCTGGTGGGGCAACAATGGATGCCAGTAGCTTATCTAAGGCAAGGGAGATGACTTGGAGCCTCAGGGAGACAGAATCAAAGACTTTTCCCTGAAATTCCTCTTGCCTCCTTCATTGTTGATGGCATTTTCTTAAATTCCTTGATTTGTATGGTGCAAGAGGAAAGATATGGCCTGGCAGTCAGCCTGTTTCTTACTCACCATTAACTCATTTAACCCCCAAAAGAGCCCTATCAGGCAGGGTGCAGAGAACATAGTAACTTACCTAAGTTCATGCAGCTGGTAATTTTTTTTTAAATTCATTTTTCCCTTAATCAAATATCTATAGCGCTCCTAGCACTGCGCTATGCATTTTGTTTTAATTTTAGATTCCATCATTGTTCATCTGTATAACACAATATAATTTTTCAACATATGCATGCAATACATAACAATCAAGTAAGAGATATTGCCATATACACCATTTTCAGCAAAGAACTTCACATTTTTTTTCTGTGAAATGTTTCTTCCCTTTGTCTCTCTTATCCACTCTCTGCCTTCTGCTTCCCTCCCTTACAGCCTCTGGTATCTACACTTATTCTCCTATTGTATCTTCAGATCTTTCCATTTCTGCCATAGAGTCTAGACATTTGGTATATATTGAGCAGGGATATACAGTGTGTCTTTAAGAGTCTGGATTACTTCACTTAGTATTAAGGCTTTTAATTCATTCATAGATCAGATCATAGAGTTTCATTGTTCCTTTTGGCTATGACCAGAAAAAGAAAGAATAACAAGTGCTGATGAGGCTGTGATGAAAAGGGAACTCTACTACTGCTGTGGGAATGTAAATTAGTACAGCCACTGTAGAAAATCATATTGTATATCTTTTAGTCAATCAGTTTCAGTCATAGAGCGTAGACACTCGGTATACATTAAGTGGGGATAGGCAATGTCTCTCCTTCATAGCCTGGCTTGCTTCACTCAGCGGTAAATCTTCCATGTTCTTCCACTTTCTGTCAAAAGCCAGGGTTTTGTTGGTTTTTATGGCTGAATAGTATTCCGATTGACTAAAAGATATACAAACACAAGAGATGGGTGTGAATGCCAGATGTAGTGTGTGTGGAGGAGTGGGGCCTAGGGAAGGTCATTTGGAGAAAGGATACAGAGGCAGAGCATTGACAGGATGGGGAGGTGTGGTGCTATCTGTTGAAGATATTTTGATCAACTGGACTGGGGAGAAATGTTCACATATTGAAATGTTCACTTTGTAAGCTAAACAACGTGGTTGAATGTATATAAAAATAAATAATAAATAAAAATAAAAAATAAAAAATAAATAAAAGAAAATAATATTGTAAACTATGCACCAGATAAAGGACTGATAACCAGAATACACAAGGAACTCAAGCAGCTGTTCTGAAAAAAGATGAGCAACCCTATTAAAAGATGGGAGAATGAGTTGAAAAACCACTCTCTAAAGATGACATACGAATAGCCAAAGGCATATGAAAAAATGCTCAACCTCCCTCATTGTAAGGGAAATGCAGTTCAAAACAACAATGAGATATCACCTAATCCCAGTCAGGATGACTAAGATTAAAAAAAATAATAAAAAAGGAAAGTGCTAGTGGGGGTGTGGTGAAAGGGGAACTGTCTTACACTGCTGGTGGGAATGTAAATTGGCCCAGCCACTGTGGAGAACAATTTGGAGATTCCTCAAAACTCTACAAATAGAACTACCATATGATCCAGCAATCCCACTCCTTGATATCTACTCAAAGGACGGAAGAATTCTTAATTGGAAAAGTGCTTGCATATCAATGTTTATTGCAGCACTATTCACAATTGCTAAGACATGGAACCAACACAAATGCCCATGAACAGATGAATGGATTTAAAAACTGTGGAACATATACTCAAGGAATACTATTCAGCCATTAAAACAAACAAACAAACAAATAAACAACAGCAACAAAAAAAACCCTGACTTTTGACAGAAAGTGGAATAATAATATGGAAGATTTACTGCTGAGTGAAGCAAGCCAGGCTATGAAGGAGAGACATGGTATGTCCCCACTTAATATATACTGAGTATCTGCACTCTATGACTGTAACTGATTGACTCAAGGATATAGAAACACAGTAGATGGATATAAATACCAGATATAGTGTGTGTGGAGGAGTAGAATCTGAGGAAGGACATTTAGAAGAAAAATAGAGAGGCAAAGCATTAATGGGACAAAGAAATATGGTATTATCTGTTGAAGATAATTTGATAGTTTTATCAACTGGACTAGGGAGAAATGTTCACATGTTGAAACCTTATAAGCCAAATAATGTGATTGAATGTACAAAAGAAAATGAAATTTTAAAATGTTTTAAAAAAGAGAGATTCCTGCAAAATCTACAAATAAAACTACCATATGATCCAGTGATCCCACTTCTTGACATTTATTCAAAAAATAAGAAAACATTTTGTTGAACTGATAACTGCAAGTCCATGTTTATTGCAGCATTATTCACAATTGCTAAGACATGGAATCAGTCTAAGTGCCCAAGAACTGATGACTGGATCGAAAAAGCTATGCACTTTAAAAAAAAACTAATAACATTTCATATGAAATCTATCTGCTTAACACATATTTTTAGAGATTTTTGCCTTAGGGTATGTGCACTCACCAGAAAGAGAGAGAGAGACAAAGACAGTGAGAGGGAAAGTGAGAAATCATCCTCCAGGGGGAATGGCCATGCTGCAATCTCTTCTCCTCCATTCTCCTCCCTGAATCTTGGGCACACAAGCACAAGCATCCAGTGTGAGTTTTGAGTCACCGGATCCAGGGCTCAAACCGTGGTTGGCCATGTGGGAGTCCAGCGATGTAACCGCTGCACCTTCTGCTGGCTCCTGCTTAACACATTTTTAAACATGTAATACAATATTGTTGACTACAGGTGCAAAGTGGTACAGCAGACCTCTAGAGTGTACCATTTTGCCCTTTGAAATTATATGCCTTTTGATGAAAAACTCCCTGTTTCCCTGTCTAGAACTGGGATATAAGCTCAGATAGCTTGATTTCGATGCTAGGAGTGAGAAAAATGTTCAGAGTGGAGTAGGTACTTGGAGTTTCTTTTTTTTTTTCTTTTTTAGAGATTTTTGCTCGCCAGACAGACAGAGAGAGACAGAGAGATAGGAAGCGAGAAATCACCCCCCAGGATGGATGGCCATGCTGCAATCCCTTCTCCTCCAATCTCCTCTTGGGATCTTGGGCACACACTCACACGTGCCCGGCGTGAGTTTTAAGCCACCAGGTCCAGGACGCAAACTGCGGCCGACTACATGAGAGTCCAGCGACATAACCATTATGCTGGTCCCAGGGACTTGGAATTTCTAAAACTGACTTGGCATTAATACCTAAAACAATCAAGGAACTCCTGCAAATCAGCAAGAAAAGTCAAAGAATCTATAGAAACACGGGCAAAGTATATGACCAATGATGGATGCTCAGTAGCTTAGCAAGACAGAAAGACTTATTCAGTACATTAGTGGTCTGACAAACACAAAGTTAAACAAAACTGAGAAATTATTTGATACTGGGTATACCTGAAGTTTGGGTCTGGTCTTATTTAGCTAAAGTCTATTCAACTTTGACGTGGGCCTTTGCTCAGGCAGTCCAATGGCCTCATTCAGTATCTTTTTTGGCATACTGTAATTCTTGATTAATGAATGACTTTTGTGATCATTTAGTTTGTTTTCATTTTTAATATCCATAACATTAGTAATGCTAATGAAGCATGTATTATAGATTCATTCTTAATGTTTTAACATTCACCTTTGTATATTGGCATTCATTCTGTATGCAAGTGGCGCACTCACTATTTTTTTATGTACTTCATACATAAAAAATTATGGCAGTTGGACTATGCCTCTAATTTGTTAGTACAAAAAACCAAAACGTTACATAAAAGCCATGCTACTATAAAACCCATTTATTTTATATGAAAAATGACTTACTAAAATCTTTCCAATGCATATATAGAATAAGTAAATACTTTTTAGGAAAATTACAAAACTCAATTAGTTAACTTTCAGAAAAACATTATTTCCTTTTAGATTCAAATAGGTTATTAGAGGGGCCAGCAGATACCACAGAGGTTATGTCGCCAAACTCCCATATGGCCAACCACGGTTCAAGTCCTGGACCTGGCAGATTTAAACTCATTCTGGGCATGTGTGCATGCATGCCCAAGATCCCGGGAAGACAATGGAGGAGAACGGATTGCAATGTGGCCACCTCCCTACGGAGGGGTGATTTCTCACTGCCTCTGTCTCTGTCTCTCTATCTCTCTCTCTCTCTCCCTGGCAAATGTACACACTCTAAGGAAAAAACCTCTAAAAAAACCCAAAACGTTACTAGATAGTCATAAGAGGGTATGAAATCCAGACATTTGAGGTGACATGAGTGAACCTGGAGGAAATAATTAATGGAATAAGCCAGGACCTGTAAGACAAATGCCATACATTCTGTCATTAATGAAAGCTAAAAGATTTAGTTCCCTAGAACTGGAGAGTCTAACAGTAGATGCCAGAAGCTGGAAAAGAGGAGGTGTGGGGAAGGAGGAGGAGAACTTGGTTGACAGACGCAATAGTACAGCTATAGAGACTAAGGTTTGAGATGGTGGATATGTTTCGTACCCTGATAATATCATTACCCATCATACACGTGTATTGAAAAACCACACTGTACCTCATAAATGTGATAACTATTAATTAAAATTTTTAACTATTAAAATTAGATCAGGAGAATGAGTTCTGGGGTACTATATAGCACAGCAATGCATTAACTGGAGACAATTCAATGTATACCTCAAAAAGAAGAGTGGATCTCAAATGCACAACTCAGAGTAATGACAAATGTTGGAGATGGTGGATATGTTTATTGCCCCAATTTGATCATTAAACAACATATACATATTTTTGTTTGTTTTTTTGAAGAGATTTTTTTCTATAGGGCACATGCACTTGCGGGAAAGACAGAGAGGCAGAAAGCGAGAAATAACCACCCAGGGGGGTGGCCATGCCACAATCCCTTTTCCTCCAATATCCTCTTGGGATTTGGGGTACGGGTGCACACACGCCCTGCATGAGTTTTAGGCTGCCAGGTCCTAGACTCAAACTGAGGTCGACTATATGGGAGTTCAGCAACGCAATCGTTATGTCATCTGCTGGTCCCACAATATATACATTTTTTTTTGAGAGGTTTTTGCTATAGGGTGCATGCACTCACCAGATAGACAGAGAGAGACATAGAGACAGAAAGCGAGAAATCACCCCCCCCAGGGGGGATGGTCACATCGCAATCCCTTCTCCTCCATTCTCCTCTCGGGATCTTGGGCACACACACACACGTGCCCGGTGTGAGTTTTAAGCCACTGGGTCTGGGATGTGAACCGCGGTCGACTACGTGGGAGTCCAGCGACATGGCCATTACGCTATCTGCTGGTTCCCAGTATATACATATTTTGAAAGTCGCACTGTACCCCATGAATGTGTACAATTATATGTAAATCAGAAATTATAATTTTAAAAGGAAGTAAGTGAAGGCAATAACTGTTTCCAAATACTTGGTTTCTCCAAAGATAGCTTACGTCTTTATCTATCTATGTCATATATATACATGTATGTGTGTGTGTGTGTGTGTGTTCATGGAATATGAAGGTATGAGTTTGTTTTGGTGCAAAAAACATTGAAACCCATGCATATGAACTTTCTGAAGACCCCTTGTGTCTGTCCATAGTCATACAGCTGAGAGCTTCTGATTTGAGAGCTCTTGCCATTTTGACAGTTGTCATTTGGAGGACATTTTTGCTAATTTTTCCCCAAAGCTATTCTCATCTTACAGAAATATAGAGACTAAGGTTTGAGATGGTGGATATGTTTTGTACCCTGATAATATCATTACCCATCATACACGTGTATCAAAAAAACCACACTGTACCTCATAAATGTGATAACTATTAATTAAAATTTTTAACTATTAAATTTTTAAAATTATAATAATAAAAAGAGTAGCAGTGAAGAACACAATAGAATGTTTAGGATTCATCATGAATCTTAGGTTTCAGAGCTTGAAATGGGAGTGATTGTAAGTGCCGCCTTATTTATTCTTCAGAACTTCAAAGTCACCTGCAGCTCATTAGGTAAATCACCAAATGCCACCAGAGAACAGTGACCCACACTGAGTATTTATGGAGCACAGACAAAGACACTTGTACCGGGGAAGCAAATGTATTTCTTCAATAAGCCCCCTTGGGCCTCTCCAGGAGACACCTCAGCCCTGGCTCACAGAGATCGGTCAAGTCCAAGACAGAGATAAGTTATGACTGCTCACATGATTCCTTGTAGCTATCTTTAAGGAAAAGACTTGAAATTCCTCATCATGCCTTTTCCTTGTCTGTATTTAATGCCCATTATTTTGAGCATTTCTTTTTCTGGATTTGTCCCTATGGAAGGAAAATGACTTGGCTTTAGAATAGAGAGAAGGGGAGGAAAGATGAAGTGAGCAAGGAAGAGAAGAGGGGAGAGAGGGCGGGGAGGAGGAGAAAGTAAAAAAAAAAGAGAGAGAGAGAAGGAGAGGAGAAGGAACAGAGGGGAATGGAAAGCAGAGGTGAAGGGAAGAAATTAGGAAGGGCAGGAAAGGAGAGCAGGGGGGAAAGCTAGGGGAGGAGAGGGTGAACATGGAGGCACAGGAAGGGATGAGGACATAAGTACAGAGATAGATGAGGAGAAAGAGAAAAAAGAAATGGATGAGAGGAGGAGATGTGAGGAGGAGAAGGAGCTCTAGAAGTAGGAAGAGGGACTCAGCTGCCATGGCACAGTGGCAGCTCAATGCTCTGAAATGCTGGAGTCTGCAGAAGACTAGGGTTCAGATCCCTGGGTGATGTGCACACACCAAGCACACCTGTGAGACTGGCTGGCTGTGAAGATCATGGTGTGAGACCCTATCTGTCTGTTTCTCTTTCTTTCAAGAAAAAAGCTTACAATGAAAAGGTGAGGGGCCACCAGGTGGCATGGAGGTTAAGGCTCTGAATTCCCACATGGCCAACCACTGTTTGAGTCCTGGACCTGGCAGTTGGCACTCTCTCTCTCTCATCAAATTTAATTAACTAATCAATTAAAATAAATCATTCTTCTTTTAAAATATAGGTGGGAAGGGGAGGAGACAATAAAGAGCACAACAGAGGGATGGGGAGGAGGAGGAGGAAGAAGGGAAGGGAGGAGAGAGGAGGAGAGAGGAGGAGACAGGGAGGAGACAGTGGTCCTGGTTGGCTCCCAGGCTGTAAAGTCTTGACCCCAAGCTGCTGGGCCACCAGTCTCTGGAAGGAGCAGCATGGGCCGGCTTGCTGGGCATCTGCTGATCTGGGCCTGCCTGCTCCACAGCGTGACCGCAGGGTTTGATAACGGTGAGGAGCACTGCGACCGCATGGGGGCTGGATATTTTTAAAAGGAGCCTGGCATACCCGCTGCCATATGTAATCAAATCTCAGGTGCCATGGAGGAAGAGTCACCTCTACTTCATGTACCACCAGAAAGAGAAAAATGCTCTCTGTACTTCCCAGGTATTTCTTTGTAAGAAACATGATCCACTAATAGGCTTTAAGAAAAAGAAAAAAAAAAAAAAAAAAACAAGACGAGAATGAAGAACCAATAAAAATAAAAGAATGAGAAAATGCCTTATATAGAGGTTTTGAAAAGGAAACTGATTTCTGTAAAGTCTATATTATTCCTTCGACCAAGTCATATCGACCTTTAACAATAATAAACTAACAAGATAAGAAGGAGCTTTGTTTAAAAGAACTATTTATTTAATTTTATTTATTTGTTATTATATTATTTTAACCAGAGAGAGAGAGAGAGAGAGAGGAAAGTGAGAATAAATGCTACCAGTTCCAGGACTCAAACCGTGGTCAGCCATGTGGGAATTCCAACACCTTAACTACCATGCCACCCCTTCTTAAATGTTTGATGAGGATCATGCACAGTTGTGAAACTACATTTTTTTTTTTGATGGAGATTTTTTGCCACAGAGTACATGTACTCACCGGTGAGAGAGAATGAGATGAAGACAGTGAGAGAGAAAGTGAGAAATCACCCCCTTGGGAGATGACCATGCCACAATCCCTCCTCCTCCATTCCCTTCCTAGGATCTTGGACACACACACACGCATTTGTACCCCCAGCATGAGTTTCAAGCCACCAGGTCCAGGACTCAAACCACAGTTGCCATGTGGAAGTCCGGCAATGTAATCACTATGCCATCTGCTGGCCCTGGTGAAACCAACTTTTTAAGGGCCAAGAATGATCTTGCCGCTATTACTTTTAAGTATTCTTCAGATGCCTTTGCATTAAGAAAAAATAACACACAATGTTGATTCTTTTTTTTTTTCCAAAAAGAAAGCAAGAAGAGAAAGAAAATAAAAGATGCTCTTCATTTGCCTCAAACCACTGCTTCCTTATCAGCTAGAATTTTTATTTCATACTTATTGAAAAATAGCCCTTTTCAACTTGATCACAAGTTTTATTTATTTATTTGTTTGTTTTGGAGAGGTTTTTTTGCTATAGGGCGTGTGCGCTTGCCAGCCAGACAGAGAGAGACAGAGAGACAGAAAGCGAGAAATCACTCCCCCCCCCAGGGGGGTACGAGTTTTATTTTTTAAAATCAGATATCACTTTTGTATATACATAGGAAAGAATAGATACATCAGTGAAAGAATCTGGCTAAAATAATCCTAAAACTTCCCCACTTTCAGTGTCTGGCTTCAGGAATGATGGACATCAGATTTTTCTACATTCTATTTTCTCTGTGCAATCCAGAGCCTTCATGATAAAGCATTTTGTAAAATAATGCATAACAGAATAAAAACCGCTGGTCTGGGCACGTTGGCCTGTATGTAAAATACTGCTAGTCTATTTCCAGTTTCCAGAGCTGTCGCTCATTCACTAACTCCCTCTCCCATTCTCGCAAGCATCTGCTTCCTGGAGGTTAAGAGGGTCCCATAGTTGTCTCTGAGAGCTTCTTTTGAGTCACTCAGGTGCACGCTGCAAGTTTTTGGTGCTGCAATAACAACCCAATCATGACTCCACAGCAACCCAGCTTGCAGATAATGATATGCCTTCAACAGTAAGGGGCATTCTAATTTTGGAAGCAAGTATTATATTTTAGCCTTTTAGAACCAATGACATGGTAGATTTGGAATTCATTAGGTGCACAAGGTACAGACATTAAATGGTACGAGTGTCTCCATGTTTTCAGTGAACACTAGTTTAGTGGAGAGACACAAAAGGAAAGTGTGTGTTGTGCTAATTTGTCTCTACACCTGGCCTGGAAAAGACATGACAGACTTGGACAAACTTCAAGGAGGGCTCAGCTGAGTGATCTTGTTCCAGGGCTAGAAATGTCCTGTGCACAACATGTCGTTTTGCCACTGTTCCAAGGTGCTGTGTTGTCTCAGGGACTACCGAGGAGTGGGGCTCCCTTGAGAGAAGGACTGTCCTGGTGGACAGACCCCAACACAGTCTGTGAACCCCAAATTCCAGAGCTGTCGTCCATCTGTTAAATGTTGCCAGTTAACATTTCAGGCTCCTGTGGGGTAAGACTACCCATCAGCTGATGGCTTGATTTCAGCAAAGCTTTGTGCTCAAATGTGAATGCTGCACTGCAAGAACTTTTTTTATTTTATGGGGATGAGGAAGAACAGTAAGTCAGAGCTCTCGTAAAATCCCGGCATCCGGCATCCGTGAGGGCTCCCCTGGCCTCTGTCCCTAACTGGCATGCTCAACTCCCAGCAAGTTCAAGAGGTCTCTGCGGGTTTCAAGGAGCTTGTCTGTAACCTCAGGCAAGCCTTTAAGTCTCAGATGTCTCTAAGTTGCCACTTGTAAAATTTAGTGATAATGATTCTGCTGTCTCCCAGAATTGCTGGAGGACTTAATGAATTAGCATTCATGATGCTCAGAATTTATCCCGTTTTTTTTCATTATTTTTTTTTTATATTTTATTTTATTTTTTTCTTTAAATTTATTTTTTACATTAATTCACTATACATCATTACAGCATACAAATGAATTTTCCATCCAAAATACACTGTATATTGGCTCAATCAAGCACATTAACATAATGTTATCAGCACATGATTTTCCATTTCTTATGTCTTGTATACTTTGTTTTTTGTTTTTTGTTTTGTTTTTTTAATTTGCCATCCTTGATTCCCTATCCCTCACCCTCTGCCATGTCCCACCCGCCTCCCACATTGTCTCTGGTATCCATGGTTGTTTTCTATGCCTCCCTCCCCCCCATTTAATTGATTTGCTAATTAACTTAATTAGTCTAAATATTTCCAATAGCTAGCACAGCTGATGTATACCTATACATGAACCCAAGTCTGACTTTAGGCATACACCTCAGAATTTGTCCTTTTTATTCCTACTGTTGTATTCCATGTAGGAGAGGTCATGAAAGTGGTCATGGATGATGTGTAGTATGAGAAAACTGTGCATGGATTTCCATTTTTTTGCATCAAAATAAAGTCGTACTTTAATTCCATTTTTCCTTGAACTTTTTAAAGTCCCTTGTACTAGTATAGTTACTAAATAGGCAGGATTTGGGTTAATTTGGTAGTTCATATTCACAAGGTGAGTTGGACTATTTTGGATTCTTCATGTAATTAGAACCATGCCATAGTTGTCCTTCCATGACTGGCTTACTTTACTTAGCATAATGTCCTCCAGGCTTATCCATGTCATTACAAATGGCAGAATTCCCTTCTATTGGATTGTCAAAAAAGTCATGATATATTTTTCTGCATTCTTCTATGCAAAAATACATCGTTATTTTTTCAATGACCCAATATGTTATGGTTGAATAATATTCTACTGTTTGCTGGGGGCAGCAGATAGCATGGAGGGTAAGGCACTAGATTCCACATGGCTAATTGTGTAGTTTGAGTCCTAGACCTGGCAGCTTAGGAATCACTCCAGGCACATGTGTGTGTATGCCCAAAATCTTGAGAGGAGAATGGAGGAGAAAAGATTATGGCATGGTTATTGCCCCTGAGAGATGATCTCTCTCTCTCTCTCTCCAGTGAGTGCACATACACTATAGCAAAAACTAAAAAAAAAAAAAATAATTAATTAAAAAATAAAAAAATATATATACTACTGTTTGTATATACCACGTTTCCTTCATCCACTCATCTATCAGCAGGCACTTAGGCTGATTCTGTAGTTCTTCGGGAGACTAATTCTCTTGGTTATATACCCAGAAGTAGGATTGCCATGTCATGCAATGGGTCTATTTTTAAATTTTTCAGAAACCTCCTTACTGTTTTCCATAGCAGCTGTACCACTTTACTTTCCCACACCATGAACACTCCATAATTTGTTGCTTTTATGATTAAGTCAGGTTTCCTTTAAAGAATGTTTTCAATCTTTGTGTTAACAGCAGTGTTTGTGAACTCAAAAGAATGTTCCAGTGCCCTCTCCTTCTGTGCTCTTCACTGGCTTCAGCAGTTACCAGTCACATCTCAGGGCAGGCTGGAGGGTCAGGCAGAGCACTGTGGCCTGGCCTCACGAGTTTTAGTCTCAGCCTGAAAGTGACCTGTTGAAAATATTTTCCCAGGTCACGGCATAATAACATTTGCACTTTCTAAAGTTCCTGCTTGTAACTGGCATGAGCTAGCAGAAGGATACCGTATTTCTTTTTTTTTTTTTCTTCTTTCCTTCCCTCCTTTCTTATTTCCTTTCTTCCTTCCTTTTGAGGTAGAAGCAAGCACCTTCATCAGAGTTCCACACCATAAACCCTCACCCCCAGGTCTTTCCTAGCCAGTCTGGGTCACATGCACATGAGCACCTGGCATGTATGGGTCCACTTGAAACCAAACCCAGTCTCCCATATGGCTTTCAGCACTGGACAATGTCAACTTCCCACTGCACCACCGTGGCTGGGCCTCAAATTTGTCATCTTCATTCTCACCATCTGGGATTAAATAGTGTCCTCCTAAAATCCATGTCCACGCAGGACCATGTGAATGTGACTATAGGGTCTTTGCAGAAGCAATTGTTAAGATGTATTCACAATGGGTGAGAGTCGATCCTAACAACGTCTCCATGAATATGACTATTCTTGTTCCTTCATTTAAGTGGAATCATACAATATTTATCATTTTGTGTCTGGTTTACATCACTTAGCATGTCGTCAAGTTTCATTTATTCCCTTTTAAGTTTGAATAACAGTCCATCGTATGTACAAGAGTTCAATTTTAACGGTTTCTATTAATTAATGATATTTGTAACATACAGTTAATGAAAGATGAAAACTGGAAATCACCTACAATCAGACTACTGACAATAAGCACCATTGACTTTTTAAATGCAGAATCTTCAAAGTATTACTGTTCTTAATGGAATAGAATTTGGGAAATATTTTCATTTCTCTTATTTTTAGGGCTAAATCTGGAGAAATAAACACTCAAAATTATGTCTTTCAGGTGGATTTCAACACAATGGTGAGTGAAAACAATTGTGTAAGAGCTTACTTTTTTATTTATTTTAATTATCATCATAATCTTCTTTATATTACATTGTATTACATATAACTTTACAGTGTATTACATTGCTTTTTCAAAAGGGAATGCCATGCATGTCAGTCAATACAGAGATATTAATCTCCCCGCTTCATCATTCAATAACTTTTCTATGTTTTCCCAATCATTATTATTATTATTCTAATTATTTTTTAAAACAATCACTATTTCTCATTTTACTTGTAAAAAGACTTTACCCATCATGAAGTACTTCTCAGATCAATCCAGTTGAGAATACTATACATGTCATCATCAACAGGTAATAAGCCATATCTGTTTCTCACTAACGTCCTGTCTCTCTATTGTTCTCTTGCTATTTTTCTCTATCCTCTTCTCTTCACCCCCCCCTTTCCACACTATCCTATTCTCGTTAAGTACCTTCACTGCTTTTATATCCTCCAATTTTTTGCTCTCTACCATAGAGTGTGGCAATTGTAAATAATGCTGCAATAAACATTGATGTGCAAGCACTTTTCTGACTGAGTGTTCTCCTGTCTTTTGGGTAAATACCCAGTAGTGGGATTGCTGGATCAAATAGTAGTTCTATTTGTAGATCTTTGAGGAACCTCCATATTGTTCTCCACAGTGGTTGAACTAGTTTACATTCTCACCAAGGACAAGGGACTGATAACCAGAATACACAGGGAACTCAAGTGCCTTATGCGAAAAAAAAAATGATTAACCCAATTAAAAGATGGGAAAATGAGCTGAACAAAAATCTCTCTAAGGAGGACATACAAATAGCCAAAAAGCATATGAGGAAATGTTCAACATCCCTCATCATAAGGGAGATGCAGATAAAAACCGCAATGAGATACCACCTAACCCCTGTCAGAATGGCAAAGATTAAGAATATAAAAAGTGGTAAGTGTTGTCGGGGATGTGGTGTAAGAGTTTATTTTAAATTTTGCAATAAAACATGAAGTCATTACATACTTCTTTTTCTGGTAAGGAATCATAAGGTAAGTAAAGTAAGTAAAGGTAAATAAAGTAAGGTAAAGTAAGTTTCATGTCAAAAATAACTAAAGAAGGGACCAGCAGTTAGCGTAATGGCTATGTCGCTGGACTTCCATGTAGTCGACAGCAGTTCGAGTCCCGGACCCAGTGGCTTAAACTCACACCAGGTGCGTGTGCATGCATGCCCAAGATCCCGAGAGGAGAAAGGAGGAGAAGGGATTGCAGCATGACCATCCCCCCTGGGGGGTGATTTCTTGCTTTCTGTCTGTCTTTTTGGTGAGCCCACGCCCCCTCTAGCAAAAACCTCTCAAAAAAAAAAAAGGTAAAGAAAAAGAGAAATCAAAATTTTACTGTCAATTTTTATCATTAATACTTTTGAGTGGCAAAATATTTCATTATACTTAACTTCATGATGTGATTTGTTTATGCAAAAATTGAGTCTTATGATCATATAATGAAACAGGAAATGTTCTTTATCATCTAAATAGTAAGTATAAATCTTTCCACATATATTTACATGTTCATTTTGGCTAATGTCTGCATTATATTACAAATGTACATTTTATTTTTTTAAGAATTATTTTATTTAACTTTTTTAAAACATAATTTGCTATAGGATGCATGTGCTCACCAGAGAGAGAGAAAGTGAGAAAGCAAGCTACCAGGCCCAGGACTTGAACCGTGATTGGGGAGTCCAGCACCTTAACCACTATACAACTTGCTGGCCCCTCTATATTTTTAAATTCCTTTAGTTTTTTTATGATTTGTTATTTACATTCGATCATTGCATACGATATGTTTTTTAAGGCATGCATGCATGCATGCAGTATGTGATAATCAAATCAAGTATATTACCATAAACATCATTTTCAACAGAGAACTGTGCAATCTTGTGTAAGAGTTTTTTTCCCCTGAGTCCCTCCCACTTACCTTCTATATCCACCCTTCTCTCATATACTTGTTCTCCCTCCTTTTACAGCTTCAGATCTTTCCATTTCTGCCACAGACACATTCGGTATATATTGAATGAGATATACAATGTTTGTCTTTCATTTTTCTGGCTTACTTAACTTAGCATTAAATCTTCTATATTCAGCCACTTTAACTCAAATGGCAGGATCTCTTTGTTCCCTGTGACTGAGTGGTATTCCACAGTGTATATGTGCCACAGGTTAGTTGGTTATTTTGCTTTAATTAATTCCTATATTTTGAACTAATATTAACCCTGCCAAAATTATTTTACTTATTTATGTATGTATTTATTTATTGGTCACAGGGCCCATGCTCTTCCCCCAAGGGGAAATGGCCATACTGCAATCCCTTCTCCTTCATTTTCCTCCTGGGATTTTGGGCATGCACACACATATGCCTGGCGTGATTTTCAAGTCAGTGGGTCCAGGACTTGAACTGTGGTCAGCCATATGGAAGTCCAGCACCTTAACTACCATTGCCACTTTCTGGTGCCCAAAATGAACATTCTTATCTGAATATCATTCCAACTATAACCAGGAGAGCACGAGTTTGTCTATTGTCACCATTACTAGTTAACATTATATAGAGAGACTGTAAAATACATGATATTGTAAAAAAAGAAATAACCTGTAAGTTTATATAAAAATAACAATAAAAATTTTTGCCTTAGGACCAGCAGTTGGCATAATGGCTATGTTGTTGGACTCCCATGTAGTCGGCCACAGTTTGAGTCTCAGACCCGGTGACTTAAACTCACGCCAGGCACATGTGCATGTGTGCCCAAGATCCCGAAAGAAGAATGGAGGAGAAGGAATTGTGGCATGGCCATTGCCCCTGGGGGGTGCTTTCTTGCTTTCTGTCTCTCTGCCTCTTTCTGTCTTTCTGGCTTATGCCCGTGCCCTATAGCAAAAAAAAAAAAAAAAGCTCTCCAAAAAAAAGAATTGTTAATTTTCCTCAAATTAACATTTTTGTTTAATGCAATTTTGTATGAGTCCATTTTAAAGTCTAAGAATAGAGAAATAAATGTCATTTTCAAATTTTATTTTTCAGATATAGACTATCTGCCAGAGGTTGAAGGTAAGTTAATCAGAAAACTTTTGCTATTAAAGTATATTTTCATTTACTTTTGTAGTAATAGAGAAATAGTAATTTTTTCTGGTAAAATAATTCTTTTTTTCTCTTTTATAAAATGCAGTGTAACTGACTTTTTAAAAATTAATTATTTATTTATTTTATTTATTGTTATTATTTTAATGTGGTCAGAGAGAGAGGAAAAATAAGAAAGCAGTCCTCCAAGTCTGGGATTCAAACCACAGTCAGCCATGTGGGAGTCCAGCACCTTAACCACCATACCACCTACTGGCCCATCTAAATGACTTTAAGCAGATAAAGAAAATAGAAAAATAGAAAGCACTCTGAACTTTCACCAGCACTAAACGTTTCTCCTCCTTCATGTTTGCCAATCTAGTAGATAAGCACAGATTTTAACATTTGTATAGAAAAAAAATCCAATAATAATTAGAAACAAGACAAAAGTGATACTTTGTCTTATCAAATATGTACACAGATTATAAATGTTATAATCAGCCTAGGGAAAATCTAATAGTAATAATATTTTGTGATACTAGCTGGGGTCAGAGTCTGCTCATTTTTACCATCATGCTATCCTACCTTTCTAATAATTTCAAGAAACTTGATAGAAAATAGAGAATGGATCAAAGAATATATTAGAATTTAATACATCATTGTAAATATATGGATATTTAAATGTATGTGTGGCTTGTTTTGTCATCAGTCTATCACTATTCAATATTTGTTTGGAAGAAAATAAGTTGCATTCCCATCTTCTATCATACACAAAACCAAATTCTGATTGATCATATTTTTTTAATTTTTCCACTTTATGATATATTACATTTACAACATTTTCTCATGCTACAATTTTCATATATTTATATACACAAGTGTATTTTATAATATGCTTTTTAAAATAATTATTTAATTTTATTTATTTATTCATTTATTTTATTTTAGTTTTTAATTTATTTTTAATAGACTAATTTACATTCATTCACTGAGCATTGTCACAGAATACAAAATGTGACAATGTGATTTCTCATCCAGAATATACTGCATAGTGGCTTAATAATACATGTTATCAATAATTTTTTCTATTTCTAGTTTGAAATGTATATATATATATATATATACACACACACATATATATATATATACATATATATATATACACACACACACACATATATAAATTTATATATATAAATGTGTGTGTGTGTATATACACACACAAACATATATATTCCCCCTATTTTTCCCCCATACCATTCCCCACCCTCCTCCCACACTACCTCAGATGTCCACGGTTTTTTTCCATTGCTTTTTTCCCCCCGCATTTTATTGATTCATAAAATTTCTTTTTTTTTTTTGAGAGGTTTTTGCTATAGGGCGTGTGTGCTCGCCAGACAGACAGACAGAGACATAAGAGACAGAAAGCGAGAAATCACTCCCCAGGGGGGATGGTCATGCCACAATCCCTTCTCCTCCATTCTCCTCTCGGGATCTTGGGCACGCACGCCCATGCGCCCGGCGTGAGTTTTAAGCCACCGGGTCGGGACACGAACCGCGGTTGACTACGTGGGAGTCCAGCGACATAGACATTACGCTAACTGCTGGTTCCCCTGTTTGATTTTTTTTATGGTGTCCAATTCTTCTTTTATATCATGGAAGGACTTCCTCATCTCTTGGAGCTCAATGTCTTTTTTTTTTTCTTGCATCTTATAGAATTTTGTTACCATGAGTGCTCTAAAGTATTTTTCTGACATTTAGCTAATGTCCTCTAATGTTTTTCCACTTGGTGACAAATTAGAGTGGTTCCTTTCATGTGATGTATTACTTGATTCTCTCATCCTTGAGGTTCTTTTCCAATTTTTAGTCATGGGTAATGTATTCACTTTTGGTTAATTTGTTGAAGAATTCTGTAAGTGTGAGCTCATATGTTTCCCTAACTGTGAAATAATTCAGTGCATGTTCTCCCTTCTATTGTATCCTCCAGTGTGGGGATCACAGGAGGAGTGTTGAAATTTGGATTTATGAAGGAGAGTTTCCCTCTTTTTATTACCAGCTTAGTGAGGGGCAAATAATTTTCTAAAACTACCAGTATTCAAATGTTTACTTACTATGCACCTAGTCTTTTCTAGGCAGTGGATAAGGGTTCAGTAATAAAATAGGAAAGTAAGGAAACAGAAAAAGAGAGTAGGAAACAGCAACAGGAAGAAAAAGAGAAGAAGTAGGAAGAAATAGAAGGAAAGAACTAGAATAAAAAAAGGGAGAAAAAAATGTGTCACAGAAAATAAAAAAGTGTTAAAAACTGAAAAAGTACAAGACAGCAGAGATGGACTCGCCTAGATGGATCCTGACCTGGGTGAGAGGAAGAGAGAGAAATTAGCAAGTTAAAAGCACAAGGAAGGGGACAGGAAAGCTGTTGGTTTCTTTTTTTTTTTTTTTTCCTTAAAAAAGAGGGAAAAAAATTCCTTAAAAAAGAGGGGAAAAAAATGAAAGGGACAGAAAAGAGCAAGAAGGAAATGTAGTTCTTTTCCTACCTGGCTAGCACTGGGTTCTGTGGGGAAAGGGGGTGCTGACCTAGCTGGGGGAGCTTCATTGTTGTGAAGCTGAACCCAGAAGGTACAGGACAGCAGAGATGGACCTGCCTGGATGGATCTTGACCTGGGTGACTTGATCGGAGAATTTAATCCATTAATGTTCAATATTATTATCTATATTTATGGGCATATTCCTGTTATTAAGTGATCCATTTTCTTGGTTGTTTTTTGTTCTCTTTTATCTGTCTGTCTGATTTATATTAGTTTTCCTAGTACAGCACTCTCTCCAGAACTTCTTGAAGAGCTGGCCTGGAGTTGGTAAATTCTTTTAGGTTTTGTTTATCTGAGAATGTTTTTATCCACCACCCCCCCCATATGAAGGATAATCTTGCTGGGTATAGTAATCTTGGTTGAAATTGTTTTTCATTTAACACTTTGACTGTATTTCCCCATTCTTTCCTTGTCTGCATTGTTTTTGACTAGAGGTCCAGTGTTAACTTGATGGGATAAACTTTGTAAATAATTTTATGTTTCTCTTGCCAATTTTAGTATTTTGTCTTTGTGGTTTTGGCCAATCTGGCTATAATGTGCCTTGGAGAAGATCAAAGATCTTCTTGGGTTGATTCTATGTATTTCTTGGGTCTGGATATTTGAATGCCTCTCTAGGTTAGAAAAGTTTTTTTTCCAGGATTTCATGGACTAGATTGTCAATGCCTTTATTATTTTCTTCACCTTCTGGGATATCAATTATCCAGATGTTTGGGTGCTTAATGGTATCTGATGTTTTTCATATATTGTCCTCATTTTCCTTGGTTATTTTCTTATTCTTCTTGATAATTTTTCTAGATCAGAGGTTTTGTCTTTCACACTTGAGCTTTGATCTTCTTCATGATCTAACCTACTTTTAATACTTTCAAGATAGGTTTAATTTCCTTTATTACAGTCTTCATCTCTAACAATTTTATTTGATTCTTTTTTATGGTGTCTATTTCTTTTTTCAAATCGTGAAAGGACTTCCTCATTTTCTGGAGCTTGTTGTCTCTTTTCTCTTGCACCTCATCTAGTTTGATCACTATAAATATTCTGAATTGTTTATCTGACATTTCCACAAGTTCCATTGTGTTGTCTATGAATGATGAGGTATTGATGTTTTCTCTTTGGGGAGAAATATTTTGTTGGTTGGTCATATTTCTAGTGCTTCTGCAATGGTTTCTAGTCATCTGGTGATTTACATGTTCCTTCCTAAATTCGTTGAGTTAATTCTCAGTGTTTGAAGGCATGCGGGAGTAGGTGATTGGCAATCTCCCTGCTGCTCTGTATCCCTGATGCTCACCAGCAATCTGCACTGTTGTCACTGGTCTTGGATGATTCAGAGTCCTCCCCATTTCTAGAGAACAGGTGTGCCTGAGACAGAGCTGCTGAGCTTTAATTCCAGAACACAGAAGGGATTGCATGGCACATGTGCCCTGTGCTTTAGAAAAAGCTGAAGTCAGAATCAGAGGCATGTGGCAGGGGATAAGCTGAAACAGATCAAAGTATCCCATTAATAAGCGACTCATGATTTTTCGTGTGTGTGTGTTGCAGTTATATGTGTTGCATGGCTTTATATAAATGCTGTATGATGTCATATATATGTCATATACATATATAGTTGAGTGTGTATGATGTATCTTCAAAAAGTGCATGGGAACCAGCAGTTAGCGTAATGGCTATGTCGCTGGACTCCCACGTAGTCGACCGCGGTTCATAACCATGGTATCTGCTACACAGCCTTCCAGCCACAGGTGGCCTGCCAAACGGCAAGTCTCTTCACTGAAACAGATCAAAGTATCCCATTATTAAGCGACTCATGATTTTTCATGTGTGTGTTGCAGTTATATGTGTCACATGGCTTTATATAAATGCTGTATGATTATATGTCATATATATGTCATATACATATATAGTTGAGTGTGTGTGATGTATCTTCAAAAAGTGCATGGAAAATACATTTTATGAAGAAAAAAAAAAAAGCTGTGCATGGATTTCAAAAATGTTTTGCTCCAAAATAAACTTGCACCATAATTCCATCTTCTATGAACTTTTTGAAGTAGCTTTGTATATTCATGCTGGGAGAGAGAGAGAAAAAAAGTGTGTGTGTGTGTGTGTGTGTGTGTGTGTGTGTGTGATGGCAGAACAAGATGAAGAAAAGAAAATAAATACAGGGAGTCAATGGTGTTCACTGACCAAAAGAACCTTTAGGTAGATAAATTCCTACGTTTATGTTGCTAAGCTTAGGATAGGCTTCTAGAACTGAGGCAAATACTAAGCCAAATTTCAAGACTGCATCCTGGGGAGAAAAAAGAGATGGGGCAAGGGTACAGAACACAAACCTTTCTCTTCAGAGGTGCAACTGCTCTGGTGTAGAGTGGCATAATTATACTCAATAAAGCCACAGGCAGTGGCTCTGATTTCAAAATGCAACAACCCCAGTGAAGGAAGTCACTTTATAACATCACTCACCCTCCCAGAGACAGATTAAGAATTTTGGTTTTCTCTAGATGGCCAATGTATCTTCCCATTCCGGTTTAAAGATGAATTATACTATGACTGCATCAAGTTCAAGACAAAACATAAGTGGTGCTCCCTGAACAAGACTTTCATAGGATACTGGAAGTTTTGCAACTGGGAAGGTAAGTATCCAACCTCTAAATGCTTCAAGGTGGTCATCTTGGTCTCTGCGGTTGAGATTTGGTGAGATAGGCAAGAAGGTTCTGAAAAATAAATGTGTAGCCAATTAAATTGTGACAGTAAGGTATATGCAATTTCTAGTGATGTGACTATCACACTGCATCAAAGATATATTCTGAGCACTTCAATTATGTTATGTTTTTAAAGAATTATTTTATTTAACTTTATTTATCCACTTACTCATTTATTTCAATTTGACCAGAGAGAGTGACAGAGTGACACACAGAGAAAGGGAATGCGATAGAGCCAGTCACCAGGTCTGTGACTCAAACCATGGTTGGTCATGTGGGAGTCCAGCGCCCTTAACCACCACAACACCTGCTGGCCTCAACCATGTTATCTTGAAAAGAAATGTTTATCGGGACATCAAAGCAATGTAGGGTCATGATTTCCCACTGATATTGTTCCCTTATCCTTTGGATGAGATACAGAGAGCAGATGGTGCTGAACAGGAACACGAGTACGTATGGGTGAATAGTAGTGGTCTATGTATGAGTGTGGTGTGGAAAGAGAGTGTGGGGTGTGTGCATGTGTGTGTGCATGGTGTAGAGGTACTATGTGTGGGGACCGTGGAAGTATGACAATTAGAAGTTGGAAAATAGAAAAGTTTCCTGAGGCAAGCAGGTGGCACAGAGGTTATGGTTCTGGACTCCCACATGGCTGAGTGCAGTTTTGAGTCCTGGACACTGTGGCTTAAGAAATCATGCCAGACACAAGTGCATGTGTGCCCAAAATCCTAGGAGGAAAATGGAGAAGAAGGGATTGCAGCATGGCTGTGTTCCCCGGGGCGGGGGGGTGGGGGTGGGATTTCTCGCTTTCCCTTTCACTGTCTCTCTCTGGTGAGCGCAGACGCCCTAAAGCAAAAACCTCAACAAGAACAAAAAAAAGAGTTTCTTACTCTGTTTCTTTCTTCTCCACAGACTTCGCAAAATGCATGTTTCCCTTCTGGTACAGGCGCATGATATACCGGGAATGTACTGACGTCGGGAGTGAGTCGGGCAAAAAATGGTGTTCACTGACCAAGAATTTTAACAAGGACCGAATTTGGAAATATTGCTGATTAATGTGAGATTTATTGGGATAGGAAGATGAAGCAGTTTAGCCATTTTTACTGGAAATAACCTAGAGTTTTTGTTGGAAGAGGAGAAGGCAGGGTCTTCATTAAAAGTGTTTTGGGGTAACGTGAATTGAAGGCAATCTGACTTGAGATTTTTACTATGAATTATGGAGTTTAAATTAGAGAACTATATTCTAGCCACTACACTTCTACTTCCTAGCTATGTAAAGGTAGGCTCCTTTTAAAAATTAAGTGAATGGTCTTTGGGTGATAGTGGCGTGTCAGTGCAGGCTCACAATGTAACAAATGCACCACCTGTTTTGGGATATGGATAATGGGGGGGCATGCTTTCTGAGGGATAGGACATATGAGAGATCTCTGTACCTGCTACTCTATATTTCTGTGAATTTAAGCTGATATAAAAAATAAAGTTTGTTAAATTGCAATACCTAAATAATTTTTAAAGAATTATTTATTTAATTTAATTTAATATCTATATTTTTTTAAATTTGCTATAGAGCAAATTTTTGCTCAGCAGAGAGAGACAGGAGGAGGCTGGGGAGTGAGAAAGCAAGCCACCAGGTCTGAGACTTGAACTGTGTTCACCCATGTGCGAGTCCAGCGCCTTTACCACCACACCACCTGCTGGCCCCCAGTAAGAATTTTTTTATAAAACAGAAAAACTAAGTGATAACTGGGGGGACCTGAGGTAGGAATCTAGGTGTCGATGAGGTCAAGTATAAAGCAGCTCAAATATAAACCACACCAACAAAGGTAAAGAGGCCAGAGGAGAAGGTGCATTGTACAGTTGAGGAAAGACCCTGGGGTGGTCCACATGAGTCCATTGGAAGCCATGTGACAGACAGAGGAGAGCCGAAGAGTATGTCACATAAGCAGACTCTTGATACAGTCAAATCTTTATTTTCTATAAGAAAGATCACTTTGGCTCAGGGTGAAAACAAATGGGAAGAGAAAATGACTGTGAAATCTGGTTCAGTTTTCCCAGTCCAGAAGGGAAAGGGTATTTTGTAAGGCATTGGCAGTGACTGTGGACACAGGGGCGTCGAAGGGCCCTGAGAGTGGTACAGAGGTAAAATGCCACGCTCTGTGAGACAGACCCACCTGGGCAGGTTGCCAGATCACAGGTAGAGATCAGCTTGGGTACACCAGCCCATGAGCTGGAGGTGGCTGAGGGTGGGTGGATCATGACATCAAGATCCTATCAAGGCTGCTATCTCTCTCTCTCATGTAACAAAAAATAATAAATAAATAAATAAATAAATAAACAGAGTCCAAGTTTTATCTTCACATTGTTGGGTTGTTCAACTTTTCTTTTTTCATTTTATGAGCCATGGGGGTCTTTCATTTGTTTATTTATTGCCTACATTGGCCATAGTTGACTCTGCTGGCTATAGCTAGTGACCTCTGAATCAGAAATTGAGCCCAAAGAATCGGCACAGTCAACAGTCTTTCCTGGAAACACAATGCATTTGTAAGTGGTAATCAATAGAAAAAGATGGTAAGACTCCCACTCACGTTTTCAATGAATCAGTAGCCAATGCAGAGGTGAAATAGCTAAGAACGTGATTAAATCGGACCATATGCCAATGCTATTTTGCAGGTATAATATGCCAAGATATTAGCATGTTTCTCTAATTGTGACCCACATCATTTGGACCATGTGTTCCTGAGAGAGAATGTCACAGTAGAGTCAAAGGACCAGGACAGTCCTCTGAAGGTATTGGACAGATTCAGAAAATAAGGTGTGCATGTCAAAATTTTTGCTTCAGGGGCTTCAATCAAAATCAGTATTTTTGGGTGACTGCAATAAAATAATTCAGGTCCTGTTAGCCATAGGGTTCAATTTTATTTAAAAAATCAAACAAACTCAGAAATAAATCATTGAAAACATGAGTTCCTAAATGACAAAGTCAAATTGTTGCTGTTGCCCTGGTGATGAGAGTTTAACACATTTGTGGAGATATGAAATTTGCAATCAGGGGTAAGAAAAATGGGGCATGTGGATAGAATTCCAAAAATTCACTACCTTCAATATAACAAAGAAATATTTCTTTTAAAAAAAGATGGTGGGGGGACCAGCAGATGGCGTAATGGCTGTGTCGCTGGACTCCCATGTAGTCAACTGAGATTCAAGTCCTGGACCTGGTGGCATACACTCACGCCAGGCACGTGTGCATGCATGCCCAAGATCCCAAGAAGAGAATGGAGGAGAAGGAATTGTGGCATGGCCATCTCCCCTGGGGGGTGGGGGGGCGTGATTTCTCGCTTTCTGTCTCTCTGTCTCTCTGGTGAGCACACACACCCTACAGCAAAAACCTCTCCAAAAAAAAAATGTTGGGACCAGCACATGGCATAATGGTTATGTCACTGGATTCCCACATGACCAACCACAGTTCAAGTCCTAGATCCAGAGGCCTGAAACATGTCAGGCATGTGTGCATGCATGCCCAAAATCCCAAGAGGAGAATGGAGGAGAAGGGATCATGCAGCATGTCCATCCTCCCTGGGGGATGATTTCTCACTTTCTGTCTGTCTCTCCAGCAAGTGAACATGCAAAAAATTTCTCCAAATAAGTAAATAAATAAATAAGTTTACTGGGCTTACATGGCAGATCACACAGTTCAAGTCCCAGACCTACTGGCTTGAAAAACACACAGGGCATATGGGTGCACATGAAATCCTGACAGGATGGAGAAATGGAGGAGAAGGATTGTAGCATGACCACACCTCTTTGGAGGTGCTTTCTCCCTTGACCTCTCTCTCTGTCTCTGTCCCTTTTTCTCTCTGTCAAGAGCATGCGCCCTCTGGAAATTTTTTTTTAATGTTTATTTACTTATTCCACAAGCGAGGAAGATAGAGAGTGATACAGCACCCCTAACAGGATCTTAACATCACAGTCTACCCCTAACTTCTGCTAACCCCAGATCACAGGCATGTACACATGTACATATGTGCTTGGCACGTGCAGAGAGGTCTCTGGATAAAAATCAGCAACCTTCCCATATGCATCTATCTCACAAGGCATCATATTTTGCCACTGCTCCACCATCTAGCACCTAGCTAAGAAATGTTTCTGAAAAGGACAGGCAATTTGGAATCATCTAGAGATATCTTATTTAGTGTGGCCTGAAAGGCAGCTGGTTACATTTTGCATAATTTGCCAGATTGGCTGATGCAAATTTAGATCAAATCTAACCCCATTATTCCAAGCTTTTCATAAGCTGAGAACAGATGATAACAACCTCAAAACCCTAAACAGCTCCTGGTATGCATGGAATTTAAAACCCTCAGCACCAGCAGATGGCACAATGGTTACATCGCTGGGCTCCCACATAGTCGACCAGGATCAGGTTGGAGTCCTGGACCCCACAGCTTAAAACTCACACCAGGTACGTGTGCATGCGGGCCCAAAATCCCAAGAGGAGAAAGGGTTGCAGTGTGGCCACCCACCTGAGGAGTGAGGCAGAGCCGGGTGTAATTGAGTCCAGGTGGTGGCATTTAGTCCCTAAGGAATAGTGATAATGATGATTACATCAGGCTACAAAGCACATTTACTAATCAGATCATAGAAAATGGCTCATACAGAGACATCTGGAGGGGATCAATTAATCACAGGTTCTTCAAAAATAAATTTAACTACAGCTCTGCTAAAGACGTTCTTTACCTGGAAAAGTCAAACCATATGGCCAGACTAGCCGTCATGCTAGAATCATGGCCTTTTAACCAAATTTCCAGGCATAAGCCCATCACAGACTCAGTGCCCCTTGAGAAAAGCGGAGGCCGACTGACCTTGAAGGCAGACTCTGCAGCAACACCACGGGTATGTACCATGTAGACTTCCCAAAGGGGCTGTGGTATTCAGTGCATAGCAGAGAGAGGAATACGTGAGCAACAAAATATGGATTTTGAGCAAAGACTAATTTTCAAGGACTCAGTACCACTGAGATCCAGTATTTAAAGTCGAGATTTGTAAGACATGACATGAGGTCTTGACTGAAGTTCACTTCTGTCTTCTGGCTCAGCGCGATACTAACAGCCTTCATCAGGCGTAGATATCAATGCTATACATTGTTTTCTCTTTAGTCGTGAGCCCACGCACACACATGAAAGTGAGACAGAGGCCCACTCTACAAAGGGTCGAGCCATGTTATGAAGGACCTCCTCTGCCCTCTGGCCCATCGGATCTTGGACACTGATGTGCTTGCCCAGTGTGTTCCAGGCAGATTGCCCAGGGATTCAGACTATGGTCACCCTGTGCGATCCAGCTTCTCCTGAGTGGCGCGTTATGGTGCTCTGCAGAGCCGGTCCTTGATGCTATACATCTTTTTAAATGGAGTTTTTCAAGTATTGTGTTGTAAATTTTGATTTTTTTCAAGGTTTTATTTATCAGCTCATTATCAACCTGTCTTTATATGAGAGAACAGAACAATCATCTGAGTGTTCTTGGTGACATTGCTACTGAATTTCCATGATTAATAATAATGCTGGATATGGAAATGCCCCCTAAAGAATTAAGCATGAATTCTTAAGTCTATAGTTATTCTGCTGGGAATAAATTCAAACTGATAAACTCGAGGATTCGTATGCAGTGGAGAAACAAATGGGATTTGGAAATGCTGCTTGCTCCCATTTGTTTTGCTATGTAATAGAGACCACACCACTGGAAGAGAACATTTCAATTGCTGTGATGCCTATTCTATTGAGAATACTTCAGAATATATTTGACTTCAATTGCCCCATAAACAAAGTCAGCTTTATTATAGAAAATGACCAATTGCCCAGGATGGGAAGCAAAGTCCCTCCATATTTGATAAACTGTGCTGGGTACAAATATGTCTGAAGAAAATGTCCCTGCAAGTGACCTGAGGCAAGTCACTTAGTTCCTGAAATGTCAAGGAGCTGGTAACAGTAATAGCTTAGGGATTTTGTGTGATTTAAACAAGATGAGAAAGATTTAGCATAATGCCTGATTCATCAAAAGTCCTCAATAAAAGTTTGCTGTTCCTATTAAAAATAAATAAATAAAATAAAATAAATGGAGTTTTTCTTTACGTGCCTAAATTCTGCAACTTTTTTTTTTAGTTTATTTATTTATTCAGAGAGAGAGAAAGAAAGAAAGGGAGAGAAATAGAAACACCCCCAATCATGCTGTGATCCACCTCCCCATCTCAGCCAACCTGGGTCATGGGCGTGCACGTACAGGCCGGTGTGCTCAGGCAAGTCCTGGAACGTGAACCCAGGACATTTCTCACGTAGGTCCAGTTGTGTTACCACCACACCAACATCTGGCCCCTTTATTTTGGAAACATTTTCTTTGACTATATGTTCAAATACTCATTTTCTTCCTTTTGTTTTTCTTTTTCAGAAACATGATTTATACATATGATA